GTTCCACACACACACTGATGGAGCTGACGTTCCACACACACACTGATGGAGCTGATGTGATACGACACAGACTCGATGACTTCAGCTTCTTCTGTCACTACAAACATCTCTTGTCACAAGACACAGAAAGAAACTTTCATCCTCAGCAGGAATCTGATACGTCCCAAAGAGAAACAGAGCCACCGACGATAAAACCACAAGTGACTAGAGTTACTACAGTAACTACAGTACAGTAAGTACTGTAACTAGAGTAACTACAGTACAGTAAGTACTGTAACTAGAGTAAGTAGAGTAACTACAGTACAGTATGTACAGAAACTACACTAACTACAGTAACTAGAGTAAGTACAGTAACTAGAGTGAGTACAGTAAGTACAGTATGTACAGTAACTACACTAACTAGAGTAACTACAGTACAGTAAGTACAGTAAGTACAGTAACTACAGTAGAGTAAGTACAGTAAGTACAGTGAGTACAGTAACTAGAGTGAGTACAGTGAGTACAGTAACTACAGTATGTATAGTGAGTGCAGTGAGTACAGTAAGTACAGTAAGTACAGTAACTACAGTACAGTAAGTACAGTGAGTAGAGTGAGTACAGTGAGTACAGTGAGTACAGTACACGATGCAGTATTTAACCTCCCTCAGACACCGACAGATCTCAGGTAAACAGTTTTTAATGGAATGAAGAACAATCAATAAACTATGTTTAAAGTTTTTAAACTTTCTTTATCTGATGTTTTCTAAGATTCTTGTAATTATATTTTTTATTTTGTTTTTGTGACTGTTTCTTTGTTCTCAGGTGTCTCCGTCTCTTCGTCTCTCCGTCTCTTTGTCTCTTTGTCTCTTCGTCTCAATGAGACTGATTCAGTAAATAAAGGAAATATAAAATATGGATTCGTGGCTCCTGCGTGATCGTCTCCCCTCTGGTCTTAAATGCAGAGTTTTTCTGGAGCTGATGTTTTTAACTGAGTGGACAGAAGAGACGTGAGTCCAGGAGGAATTCACTGAATGTTCTTCTTTTAAATCACTTTTCCAACAGATGGTGTCGGGAGTGAAGTAAAACTATCTGACATTTATGTTTCACGTTATCAGACATTTATTTTTCCATGAAGAGCGTGAGACAGACGTGTGGGACTGTTTGGCCTCGGCGGAGGTTTAACGGGAGATAAAAAAGATTAATTCATGTCACTGCTCAGAATTGTATCTGAGGACAAAAGAGGTTCCTCCATTAGTAAATGAGACCTTATATATCTGTGTGTGTGAGACGCTCTGTGAGAGTAGAGATGTAATTACTGTGTCAGTCACACCAGATAAAAAACGGCCTGGTTCTTCTCAGGTTTAATTAATGTCCCGTCGTTGTTGTGGTGAGTTATCAGAACGCTCCACTGTTTGTTTTCTGTTTTAGAAAGCTCACGATCACAAATCACTGCGAGGCGACGCGGCGTGTGACAGCCCCGAGAGAACGTTATTCTAGATATGGAACTTTAATAAAAGTAGAAACTTCAGGAGGAGCGACAGAGGAGGGATTCTGCTGCTGACGCACAAACAACACATATCTATCAGGGACACTTAGAGGAAATATAATATATATATATGAAAAGAGAATCCTCACAGTTTCACTCTCCTCAGTCTCTCTGTTCAATCTGCAGCTTCTTGTTCAGTTTTTATAAATAACAGAATCCTCGATGTTTTGTCTCATCAGCTCCACGTGAGCATCTGTCACATCTGTTCTAAGAACTTTCAGAGTTTCTCCACCAACAGATTCTTTCAGACGGAGAGAAACTCCAGAGAGCAGCAGTTCTCCTTCAGGGTTAGTTACTAAATTTATATCTATCATGACTTCACTCTTGAGATCTCTTGTTCTTCACCGTGGCCCCGACCCTCTGAGCTGGAGTTCATTCTTTCTCATAAGTTGTTCTGTGCTTGAGTATTTTTACAGATTACTGATGTCGGTAAAGGTCACGTCGTCATGAAAGAGCTGCAGCAGAGAGGGAGCTGGTGATGTAATGCACCACCCGGTGACCACGACAGGTGCATGCTGGGATTAATGCTTCACGAAGCCGTGCTTTACTATGAGGGCAACACAAAGGGTTTGAAAAGGACAAACTCGCCGCACAGTGATTAGTGAGTGATCCAGACACACACACGTGACACACGTTTCACGTCATCGACTCGATCACGGAGGAGCGTCAGAGAACGTCCAGAGCGACTGACTCAGACATTTTCAGCCTCTCCAGAAGATTTGAGATTATCTGGAGCTGACACACGTGAGGCCGAATCTAGAACAGAGACTTTGTGCAGCTCAGGGTCCACTGAGCGAATCCTGTTGTCGCCTGGCAACACACGAGTTTATACACCTCCACCTGATGCTGCTGTAATTATTCTGTTCCCACTTCTACAGAAGCCAGTTGATGTATGTCTCTTTACACTGTTGCACACAGTCGATGGACGCCTGCTGTGACTTTCAAACATCAATCCTCAGCTGTATGAGCGGGCGAGAGTGGACTTCTTCTCACCAGGGAACATCTGAGTAACTGTCTCTGTGCTGCTTCTACGGTTTTAACTGTTTTTAAAATGTTCCATTTTTATTTCCGTCTAGTTTTATTATTATAATTTTACTTCTACTTGAGTGTCATGTATTTTAAGTAGCAGTAAAATTAGATGTTCGATGTCACCACGTCACTTTAACTTGAATTTACCTGAATCTTGTTTTTATGTTGTTATCGACAGAAGATTTATGAAAACGATGTTAAATCTG